CAGTACTCTTCAGTTAAGGAATATACCCTACATCATACGAAGGATCCCCATAGACCCTAAACCCTAAACCCTAAACCCTAAACCCTAAACCCTAAACCCTAAACCCTACGTCATACTAAGGATCCCGAAATGGTTGAAGGCATATTCCTTTGCTACGGGGTACTGGGCTCTCGGGGTGGGCTGCTGGAAGTGAGCCCGCGAGTCTGTAGCGGGTGAGAGCTTCGGGCTGCTGGGTGTTTGGGGTTTAGGGGGTTTAGGGTTTAGGGGGTTTAGGGTTTAGGGGGTTTAGGGTTTAGGGTTTAGGGTTTAGGGTTTAGGGTTTAGGGTTTAGGGTTTAGGGTTTAGGGTTTAGGGTTTAGGGTTTAGGGTTTAGGGTTTAGGGTTTAGGGTTTAGGGTTTAGGGTTTAGGGTTTAGGGTTTAGGGTTTAGGGTTTAGGGTTTAGGGTTTAGGGTTTAGGGTTTAGGGTTTAGGGCTTGGGGTTTAGGGTTGAGGGTTTTAGGGCTTAGCTAAACGAAAGAAGCCCTGGTGAGCGTCCCGCTCCCAGGAATACAGGTTCAACTTTTCGAGAACTCAAGTGCAGCTACATTGTTACATAGTGGCTCAGCAGGCTGAGCAGGAAATCTCCAAACCTACGCCCTCAAGCCCCTAAACTTGGGATGTTCTATACTAACAGTCCTTAATAGGGATTGTAATGGGGGGGTGCTATAATCCCAACGGCTGTTAGTCTAAGGGGGAACATCCCAACCTTAAACCCGACACCCCAACCAAGACCTCGAAGCCTCTGCCCAGAGGCCAAGGACTCCAACACCCTTGGCTTTGGACTAGTCCTCAAATTGGGGTTTACGAAAATTGGGGACCCCCAATATAGATCCCCCATAGTATGATTCCCTCCTAATTATAAGGACCCCAGAAGGTACCCCTAATTTCGGAAACCCCAAATCACATTATGGAGCCTAACATGATTGCCTACACCCTATACCCTAAACCCCAAACCCTAAACCCTAAACTCTAAACTCTAAACTCAAAAAACAAATGCCCCTTGAGGCCCCTGCGGTCGGAACTCTGCGACTCGGAGGAGCTACTCCTGTTCCGCTTAGAGTTTCCCAGTTCGCCAAACCCCAAGAGCCCAATTCCCCTTAATTACAGAATATACCGCAAACCATAATAAGGGCAACTGGATACTACTTTTTAGACATGTCTAATTAAAGAATGTACCGTAAACCATAATAAGGGCCCCTGTATGATTGAAGGTGCGCCCTCAACCCCGAGCTCCAAGAAGGGTTTAAGAGTTCAGGGCGGTTCTGCTAAATCATGGCCCCTTTTCTGTACCCCTGACGATAAGGAATGTGCGAGACGAGCGATCCCCTAAAAAGGGGGCTGTGTCAGGTGTTTTTGGAGCACGTTGCAGGGGCGTCGAACTTGGGGCCCGAGTGGAGGAAGTCGGGGTGTGGGGTTTAGGGTTTTGGGGCTTTGGGCTGTGGGGATGGGGGGTGACGAGCTTTCGTGGCTGCAGGTTTTGGGTTTAAGTTGATGAGAGTATACTTCCATGTACCGGTGGAATACTATGATCTTGATTTGCGGGCGGCGCCTTTTGCAGGTTGAAAATCATGCTATCGTGATCTCATATTGCTCTACATTGCTGCATCCAATCCTCCCTTGACAACCTTTTCTAAGCTCGTGATCTCCCTAAACCCTAAACCCTCAACCCCCAAACCCTAAACCCTAAACCCTCTGCTACAGCCGGCTAGGCTAGTGCAAGATGTTTGGGATGGTCGTGGCTAAACCTCAAACCCTAAACCCTAAACCCTAAACCCTAAACCCTAAACCCTAAACCCTAAACCCTAAACCCTAAACCCTAAACCCTATTAGGGCTCAGGGCTGCAGAGGTCTTGTGTGCCCGGAAGCCTCATACGCCAAAGGGCTTAGGGTTTAGGGCTTAGTGCTTAGGGTTCTAGGATTTAGGGTCGTAGAGTTGTAGGATCTAGGGCTTTGGGCTTGGGACGGTTCAGGGTTGTAGGGTTGTGGGATGAGGGTTGCGGGCTGAGGGTTTAGGGCTTTGGGGCTCAGAGCCTTTCCAGAAAACACCCGGATGGTGGTAAACCCAAACCCTGAACCCTAAAAACCCTAAACCCTAAAAAAACCCTAAACCCTAAACCGCGGCCTCTTGTTTTTTTTGTGCTTCTTCCGCTTCTTCTGCCTGGGTCTCAGCGTCGAGGGGCATCCCGAAGCCTTCTAATCACGACCCCCCCTCTATACTACCCCCCTCCCCCCCCCGCTATGTGGGGACACTTAAGCCCAATATTTTAAGGGAATCTAATTTCACCCCCCCTGGGTTCCCCCCATAAGTAAGGCTACGTAGGGATAATTAAGCCCAATTTTAAGGGTATCTAATTTCACCCCCCTAGGTTCCCCCCATAAGTAAGGCTATGTAGGGATAATTAAGCCCAATATTTTAAGGGTATCTAATTTAACCTCTCTAGGTTCCCCCCCTTTGGGTCTTTAAGCCCCCCCCATAAGTAAGGCTGTGTAGGGATAATTAAGCCCAATTTTAATGGGTCTTTAAGCCCCCTAGGTTCCCCCCACATAATTAAGGATATTTACGCGAGGGGCATCCCGAAGACATTTTAAACCCTGGAAGGGGGCGAGCAGGGGGTAACTTCAGACTCAGAGCTTCTGAGAATGGGTTTAGGGTTGAGGGTTGAGGGTGGAGGGTGGAGGGTGGAGGGTGGAGGGTGGAGGGTGGAGGGTGGAGGGTGGAGGGTGGAGGGTGGAGGGTGGAGGGTGGAGGGTTGAGGGTTGAGGGTTGAGGGTTGAGGGTTGAGGGTTGAGGGTTGAGGGTTGAGGGTTGAGGGTTGAGGGTTGAGGGTTGAGGGTTGAGGGTTGAGGGTTGAGGGTTGAGGGTTGAGGGTTGAGGGTTGAGGGTTGAGGGGTTGAGGGGGGGGGGGGGGGCAGGGTACCCGTGCGAGGCTCTGGGCTTCTGGAGTTTAAGGTGGTGGGTTTTGACCGTACGACAACGGCACCCTACACCCAAAGCTCGAAACCCCTAAACCCTCAACCCTGAACCCTAAACCCTGAACCCTAAACCCTAAACCCGAGTGGACAGATTCTACTTCCGCACGCAGTGGGGAAGGCCTATGCTGAAACCCTCAAGCACCAGGCGCGGCAAAGGCTGTTTTTTAAAAGGAGTGGAGCACCCTCTTTGCTTAAGGCGTGGCCTTTCTTTGTAGGTGTGCCCTAAATCCTAAACCCTAAACCCTAAAAACCCTAAACTTATCAACCCTAAACCCTGATTTGTCTGCAATATGTCGTGTTCTCGCCTAGGTCTGGGGCTCCTCGGAGCCCAAGGGGCGCCCTTGAGCCTTTTAAATGTAGGATGGCCTAGGGTTTAGGGTTTAGGGTTCAGGGTTTAGGGTTTAGGGTTTAGGGTTTAGGGTTTAGGGTTTAGGCTTTAGGCTTTAGGCTTTAGGCTTTAGGCTTTAGGCTTTAGGCTTTAGGCTTTAGGCTTTAGGCTTTAGGCTTTAGGCTTTAGGCTTTAGGCTTTAGGCTTTAGGCTTTAGGCTTTAGGCTTTAGGGGGATTTCCTAAACACATGTGGGTAGTTCTCCCTTTTCGGGATCCTTTGGCAAAGGATGCCGCCTTACAACGGGTACGAACGAAAAGGGACACTAATTCTATACTCCCCTTAGAACCTGAATAAAAATAATATTTTTGAATATGCTCTTGGGTTTCAAATAATTCGCAAGGGGGATATAGAATTTAGGAAAATAATCATGTGGGGATTTCCTCCACTAGGGGTACTCTTCCTACTTTGGGATCTCAGTATGGTTGAGGGCTTCGAATGCTGTTTCTGCTCTTTTCTTTCTTTTCTTTTTGAAGGGGGGGAGGGGGGAGGGGGAGGTTTAGGGGGAACTGGGTTTGGGGGTTCGGGCCCCTGTAGGGATGCTCATAGATTTTGGGTTTAGGGTTTAGGGTTTAGGGTTTAGGGATTTAGGGATGTAGGAGTGCAGGGGTCTACGGTTTGGTTTGGGGGACTGAGAGCTTTGGGAATCTCTGTGTGTGTGCGCCTTTTGTTATGTTCTTTGGATGGGGGGGGGTGCATTCGGGATCCTGGCCCTTGTTTTGGGGTTTAGGGTTTAGGGTTTAGGGTTTAGGGTTTAGGGTTTAGGGTTTAGGGTTTAGGGTTTAGGGTTTAGGGTTTAGGGTTTAGGGTTTAGGGTTTAGGGTTTAGGGTTTAGGGTCTAGGGTTGCAAATATCTCTGCGTCTTGGGTCTCTTGCTTTCCTGGTCTCTGGCGTTGTGAAACCATGGCTGGACCAATTTCAAGCCCTACCCTGCCCTACTGAAACTCCATAAGCCCTACAAGCACTATAAGCCCTACAAGCCCTGCAAACCCTGCAAGCCCTCGTAACCCTATAAACCCTGAACCGATGGCAGCCTGAATAGGTTCGGCGTCTGCATAAAAATTTCGCACCTACTGTGCAGGGCCATTTAATCCGAATGCGTGTACTAAAGGCTGTCTTCATGAGAATCACATAAAGATTCTAATATTCTTCAGGGGCCTGGTATTGGGAATTGTTTAGGCGCCTGCATTAAGCCCTGCAACTCGGGGCGCTGGCTAGACCCTAAACCGAGACGATAACCCCTACGCTGCAAACCAAAGCTTTTAAAAGGACTGCCCAGACCCCAATCTACCACATTCAGACGTGGAAAAATGACAGCGGCGCGTCAAACCACCAGGGCCTGCCGTGCGTTTCGGGTGGAGGGTTTAGGGCTTTTGGTATCAGGAGGGGTCTTCGTCTAAGCCTGAGATTCAGGGTCTTGAGTCTTAGAATGTGGATTCAGAAGGAGGGCCTACATGATTGGAGCGCAGAATATACAAGCATGAGCAGGAGCACAGGACGCAGGTCCAGGATGTTGCGGGTACTACGGCCTGGCTAGCGCAGGAGCGAATCCTCCCCAAAGAAACATACCCCCGAACTTTTGCCAGGGCCAAAACACTGCTCAGCCCGTGCTCGCCTCCAGCGCCGTCAAGTTCACGGAAGCAGAACGACCTCGCCCTTCGCCGGAGCCTCCCTTGGCTGCAGGTTCGGCTGCGGGGCCTCGCCTTGCGTCCGAGCGCCAGGAGCTCCCACTCCAGGAGTTCGTTCCCCACCGGCTATCATCCTTGTCGCGGCTGTCCTGATACAAACCCAAGCACATTTGGCAACCCTACGCTGTCTTTTTGATTCCTGGTATCTTATTATATTGGGGTCCTTAATACAAGGGAATCCTATTATTTGGGGATATATCCCTTATTTTCGTAAACCCATGGTACTTCTTAACCAATTCTAGCTGTACTTATAACTGTACTTACCACCACATTAGGGCACTTAAGGTCTTATAAGTGGGTTAGAAGCACAGCTATAGTTATAATTGGTCAATAAGTACCCCTAAACCCTAAACCCTAAACCCTAAACCCTAAACCCTAAACTCTAAACCCTAAACGCTAAACCCTAAACCCTAAACCTCCAAGCAATTGACGATTACGGCATTGCGGGGCTCTCCTCCACTCCGACCGGCGCGGCCGTTTGTGAAGGCAGGCGAGGCGTACCCTTCACTGCCTTCAGGAGGCAAAAGGTTATATGGGGATCGGAATAATTAGGGTTTCGGGTTTAGGGTTTCGGGTTGCGGGTTTAGGGTTTAGGGCTTAGGAAAAATTGCTAATCGTATCCCTTATGGCCCCTGAACTATACTATCATCTCCCCCAAAACCCTATTCGAATTATTCAGGCCCCTATGGTACGTGCAGTTGTCAGGGTCGTGGCATCGCGTCCCCGGGTAGCTCCAGTTTAGGGTTTAGGGTGGAGGCCTTCTTTGGGCCCACAGCTGGTTCTGGGACATTGGGCGACTCCCCAAGCTCTGGCTCTTTACGCTAGGCTTTCGGGTTTAGGGTTTAGGGTTTAGGGTTTAGGGTTTAGGGTTTAGGGTTTAGGGTTTAGGGTTTAGGGTTTAGGGTTTAGGGCTTTGGGGCGCGGTGGCTCCTGCTTGAAAGCACCCTGCGGCCCCTTCTGTCCCTACCCCTGTCCCCCCTACACCCCTAAATTCCAGCCCTACACCCATGGTCCTCAAGCTGCGCCCCAACCCCCATCACACGCCTATAACCCCTAGCCCCTACCCACTTGCACCCCTACCCAGGCATCGGCTTCTCTTCAGGGTGTACTACACATCTGAAGAAACAGCGGAAGCAAACAAAATCATGGATGGCCCTTAACACCCTCTGAAAAAACACTCATAGACATGGCCCTCTTAAACCCAATAATAAGGGGCATTCAAAATCTCCCAAGGGGCTACCGAGACATGCAACTTGGCAGATGACGGAAGATCGTTGCCTCCGAGGGCGGCCCGGAGCTGGGGGTCAAGCCTGGGCCTGGGCAGCACGGGCGGTTTGGAATGATGCGGCTGCTGTTTAGGAACTGATGCTGAGGCAAGCAGAATATTCACTACATGTTTAAACTTCTGGTAGTTTTAGGGCTCAGGTTCTTGGTTTCCGGTTCAGGGTTCAGGGTTTAGGGTTTCGGGTTCAGGGTTCAGGGTTCAGGGTTTAGAGTTTAGGGTTCAGGGTTTAGGGTTTAGGGTTTGGGGTTTAGGGTTTAGGGCGTGCCAGACGGAGCGCGCTTTGGGAGCGCGCGGTAGTCTGCAGACCTACCCACCCCAAGACCGCCCACTTACAACTCTCAAGGAGTTAAGACCTTTTATTTTTTTACAAAGCATCACATGAGTCAGCACTCACACCCTTTTCGGGGATTTCCACAAGGTGCGTGGACCAGGCGGCAAAGCTGCAGCAGACGGAAACGAGGCAGGGTCCGTGAAGACAGCTTGGGTTGGCGCGAAGGGGCTAAGGGATGGGCCAGGAACAGAGAAAGGCAGCGAGCTTGGTTGGTGCGAGCCAGGAAGAACACACAGTGAACAGCTTGGGTTAACCAAAAAAGCCAGTAAAACAGGGCTGGTTGGCTTGGTGCGAACGGGGCAAGGTGGGGTGCCGAACCAGGGTCAGGACCAGGCAGTGCGTGGACAGCTTGGCTTGGCGCAAGGGGGTAAGATGACTCGAACAGGCCAGAGGCCAGGGCCAGGGCCGCAAAACTAGTCAGGGCAGAGGGTCAGGGTCAGGGTCAGAGCGCAGGGTCAGGGCCAGGGCTAGAGGGCCAGCCAGGGCCAGGCAGGGCCAGGGCCAGCACCAGGGCCAGGGCCAGAGATGCCTGCCCCAACAAAACGGCCCCAGGTCCCCTCAGCCCAGCGGACGGGGGTGATGGACCAGGGGTCTCAAGGGGCCGTCCCAGGGGGCCCTCCAATGCAGGACCCAACCATGTGCGCGGACAGCTTGGGGTTTAGGGTAATAGAAGAAAATACAGTGACAACTGCTGACTCGGCCTGTGCCTGCCTGGAGGGTAAGCCAGCCTGGAGGCCAGCTCGGTCGCCCGCCTGGGGCTCCCTCGCAGGGTCTCACTGAGCGCTCGACCAGCGCCCGCCTACCCCAAAAGACAAGAGAGTGGGGTGGCGGGCGGGTTTGGGGTTTGGGGTTTGGGGTTTAGGGTTTAGGGTTTAGGGTTTAGGGTTTAGGGCGAACTTAGGCCCCAGGCAACCGCCCAGGCAAGGATCCTCCGAGTCGAAGGGCGCCCGCCACATCTTCACCTCGGCATCAGGGGTTCGAGGAGTTTTCCTTTTTGAGATCTCTAGGAACCCAGGTGGCTGCAGCGCACTGGCCTTTCCATCGAGCTTCCTCAAGATATCCTAGGATAGTAAAGGAGACCTTGTGCCGATATTGCCAAGGATTTGAAGACACTATGTTTGAGGCATGGAGACTTTCTGTACAGTCCCCGATAGATGCAATGACTTTCTCACATCCCGGAGGTTGCATGCTCAAACATTGGTTGACTTCTTAGAAGTCAACAGCTTCACTGCTTCATCCTCAACAAGAATAAACGAACCCTCCTTTAAGACTTGTCGGAACAAGGCCATCGGTGCCCCTCGCTTCGTGAGCACATCTACGATCATCTGACTCGTTGCCATCCATCTCAGACTGATGCCATACTTGCTTATGTCTTTCTTCAAGAGCAGCATTTCGATGGCCATTCTCTTGTCTTTGATGGATACTGTGGAGCTCTTGGCATGATCGAAGACAGGCTTGCAGTCAATGACTGCTGTGATGGGCACTTTGACACTGAAGGCTAGATCCTCATGCAGCGCGTAACTTTCGCATATGGCTTCGCACCACATAGAACGCACCCATCGAGCCTCTGCCAAGCCTCGGGATAAGGCTAGGAGCTCGGCCCCCAATGTTGAATGCGTCTGTCGGTCTTGTTTGTAACTTCTCCATCTCATGACAGAGACTGACCCGCTGACAGTCGACTGTCACACGCGGCAATCATGTAGCCAGCCTGACTGCAGTGATCTTGAGCATTGGCCCAGGCAGCATCGGTGAGCACGCTAAACTGAACTGAATCTACTGGAATGGGCTTTACCCATATGTAAGACTTGCTATGATCGCGAGCCAGGCTTAACAGCTTGTTCACTTCTATCAGGTCAGAGACGCATGCGCAATTGACTCGCTGCTGCATCAAGGAACACCATGCAGCTAAGTCCGGGCGACTGCCACTGACTAACCAGTTGATGCCCCCCAGGGCAGCTCTCATCTGCTGTCTCTCACTCTCGTCCACAAGTTCACTCTTCTCACGACGTCTCTCTTTAGAAATCTCGATGCCCTTCGCAGAACTAGCATACTGCTCTTGAGAAATCTTGATGCTCCCATCGCTTTGTTGTTCAAGCCATTTGCCCAAAAACTCTCCCTGTTGTGTTTTCCAATGTTTGAAAGGAAACATCTGCCTAAGTGGCTGCTGCACAGACTGTTGGAATTTGAGACTTCCTCCCATGCATAAATCGTCTACATGGAGTGTGATCACTCCTTCTAGTCGGCCGCTGTGGTAGTAATAAAACACGCATGGGTCAAACTCCGACATTTGCATGTTGAGGTCTTTGAGTTTGCCACTGAAGCAATTCCACCAGGCTTTCGGAGCATCGGCAAGCCCATACACTGTTTTGATTGCCTCAACAAGACACTGATCATCGTAGCCCTCGATTCCACCTGGAGGCATGTCAATAAACAATCTTCCGCGCTGTGGACTCAAGTTGTCACCTCGCAAAAATGCACCCTCAACATCGGCAATTGTCAATTGCCAGCCATGACTCGCGATTAGTTGCATTGCGACTGCGAATCCTTCTGCGGATAAGGTTGGAGCGCTCGTATCAAGCTCCAACACATCTGGATCAAGGTAGCCTCGAATGCACCATCTGGCCTTCAAATCACACGTGTCAGGGTGTGATCCCTGTTCAGCCTCAGTTACAACAAATCTCGATTTCAAGACGCGCTTTCGAGGCACAGACTTCCTCAACTGAGCTGCCTTGCGACCCGTGTGAACAACAATCGCTCCACTTTTCAACAACTTGTTCCACTCCTTGAGCTTGGCCTTCTTCAGACCCGCTTGCTGATTTTGACTCAGCTCGGACTCAATGACTTCTTTTCGGCCCTTCTTCGTTGCGCCAACCTCAAAGCACTCGATCGATGATGCACTTTGTCGCGACCAACCTGGCTTGAGCTGAAACACAGTCTGCCCTGTCCATTTTCCAACCCCTGTACTTGATTCGTGCATCACGTTGCGCCATTCGTAATCACGCGTGTGTCGCTCACCACTTCTGGTATACATCACAGACTGACAGACCAACTCCACATCTTCCACGCGAACAGGCAACTCATGGTCCGACGGACTCCAAGGCACGCATCTTTCCACAACATGCACACGCACCAGGCGCGACTGCGAATGGTCAATCACCCAATGATCTTGACCCTCAACGACGATCACTTCAAGATCATCTTCATCGTCCTCAGGCACAGGGATCTCAGAAGGCCTCTGTGAGGACTCAGCTCTCGCGCTCAATCTACGACCATGGTCTAGCAACTCCGTACTTGCACGCATAGCACGCGTCAAGGGCGTCACTTCAGGCTCGACCCTTTGCTTTTTGCTTGGAGAGACGTCTCCAGCATCATCATCTCTAGGATCCTCACGCCTAGGGCGCTGTTCAGGGAGCACGGCCAACTCAACTGCTTGATCCGGGCTTGACTCCAACTGCATCGGGGGAGATGCTATTGCATTCTCATGCCCTGACACCAAGTCCATCGGAGGAGCTGCTACTGCGTTCTCACGCTCGTCCTGCTCAGATCTTTCCTCTACGTGCGAATCTGGTGGCTTGTCAAGCATGCTCAAATCATAAAAGTTCCCAGCACCCTTCGCACTGACCTCATTGCGTACATGCACCATATCAGCTGGCAGCAATCTAATCATGGCCTCTTGCTCGGGCGATAAACTTCGCAGCTGTTCAGGGCAGCATCGGTACACCTTCGTTCCCTTAGCTACCCAAACTTTGGAGCTACCGCTCTTCCCTATCACAACAGCCGGTCCATGCCAATGATGCCTGGTTTCAAATCGACTCTTTCTCCAAAAATACACCAGCTGACCCTCAGAAAAAGGACCCCTCTCAGGACGATTCCGATGCTCCATTGCCTTGCGCAACTTGTTCTCGGCATCAGCATCAAGGAAGGCCCTTCTTGCTGCCTTTCTCAGCTCCATTCTTCTCTCAAACACACTCTCACCCTGCGCCAGCGACGAGTTGATGACCGGATCATAGTCGGAACTAATCATGCCAGGCACCCTCAAATCTCTACCAAACACATGCTGAAAAGGCGAAAACCCTTCAACACGTGACATACTGTTCACAGCATTGTTGACCTGATCAATGAGCTCTTGGGTTTCTTGTTTGCTTCTAGGATACGTCTCCATCTGAGCCTTTGAATAAGCCGCTTTCCAAACAGCCCCTTTTCTTTCCACAAGTCCATTCTGCCATGGAGCATATGCAGCCGACGCGTCGCTAAAAGTGCCATCCAACGAAAGTCCATGTTCGAACTCCCCTTCAAACTCCTTGCCCCCGTCACAGAACAGTCTCACAGGAGGCCCGGCCCATCGTTTCCATGACTTGCGATATGCGTTTCGCACATGTCTAGCCTGCATACCCTTCCACAACGGAGTGCACATCTGAAACCCGGTGGCCTCATCAACGATATTCAAGAAATGCACTTTAGCATGTCTCACATCAAGCTCAAACGTGTCAATGCACACTTGCTGATTGAACTCCGTAGCCCTGCGCATCTTAGTCACATTATGGGATTTGGGACGGCTCAAAGCGCTACACGTTTCACACTCAAGACCTCTAGCCAATTTCAGAACTCTCTCACTTGCATGCGCCGACTTCAACAACATGACCAAACGAGCAGGAGAAGGATGACCAAGATTCTCATGACACTTTCGAAGCAATGACATGACCTTTTTCTCGCTCTCCTCTCCACTCTCTCTCAACTCTTCTATGGTAAACACGCAGTGGGAAGCATGCACCTCAAGACGCGCGCGCTTTCGATCAAGCAAAGCAACCGCTACACACTTCATACACGTGGATGCCGCATCATCAGCCTCTGTGTTGTGTTTCTGTGTCTCACCTTGCCTCATCCTCGGCCTGATTTCTTTACTGTTAGTGTGCACGCTACCACTCGTTCCTATTTTCATGCTGTACACCTCGGTTTCGGCAACAACCTTGCACCAACGTTTCACACCGCTCTGCAAGATTCCACTTTCATCCCACACACAGAACAGCCTACCCTCACACAACTGCTCGCTACAGCACGCAGCAACCAACCTCGTGAATGCACATTGCCGTTGACTCGCATGCACCAACTGCTTGCTGTGTTTGTGCACTCCACCGCTCAGACACTTTGGGGTTCTAATGACTAGCATTTGGGGTCTGCATTGCCGAATTTTCTCGATGGCATGGCTGACACAATCGCCTAAAGACAGGGAACTGGACGACAGTTCGCCTTGTGCAAAAATATAGTCTGAGCTCAGGCCTACTGCCGTGATCATAGACAGCTTCTCACTGCCCTCCAACAGCAACACATCCATGCCACCCTGAACCACACACACGCCGCTCTCGAAGTCCTTGCATCTGGCTATGCCACGCCTACACAGCTTCCGTTCACCCTGGCTCATGCGCTTGGGTTCTGAGACCTCACCATCGGCTAATCCTGGCCCTCCTCGTTCAGGCGCTCCAGCTCGAGGTGCAGGGCCTCGATCTGACTCATCAGCAACTGGCGGCGCCTCTCGCTCTCCGTGCACGACATCCTTGTCTCCTCTGGATGTGGCATCAGCAACCAAGGAGTCTCCGCATGCTCGGTCTCTAGCTCCGTCACATCTGCCCTGTCTGCACTCTGGCGGCTTCGACTCGATGTAACTGTACGCCTTGTTGTGGGCGATGGCTTCGGCTTTGGACTGCTCTTCGCCTTGGGGGATGCTCCCAAGTTCATTGCGGTCACTGCTCTCGTTGTGCGACTCGGTGTTGTCAGCGCTGGTTCTGGCTCCGACCCTCTCTGGATTCTCTGCGACTTGCGCTGATCTCTCAAGGCCACGTACAGTCGGAACTGTGTCATTGTCGGATGCGATGACTTCCCCGCTGCATCTGGGCCTGACTTCACGAACTTCCGCACCCACGCCACGTAGCTCTTGTCGGTGAGATAGGACGTCGCAAAGTTCACCGCTGCGCCTGCTTTCTGATACTTCCCGACGTTGAAGATGATTCGCCCTGTTAGCCCTGGCACGAGCCCTTCTGGCGCGTCTTCTTCGTGATCTGATAGTTGATCCAGGATCGACGCACTCAGCTCCACCTGGTCCTGCGCCTCCAACTGCGGCTGCACCTCGGCAATCAAGCCGGCAATCAGAGGGGTCTGAACGAAGTTGTTCGCGCCCTGCATCTCCACATCGGTGCTCGGATAGCTCATGGCGCTGATCTCCTTCAGCAAGATGCACGGCTACCGGCGGCGACTTTTGTGAACCAAAAATCTCGGCGTCATCTCTCACGTGCGTCTTCACATCCTGATTCTGTGTCACCTCACGCTTGCCGTGAATCCCCATACCCTCGAAGAGAGGAATGGCATAATGCCCTCGTTCCGTTTCATGAAGCTTAAGCTTAACCCCACACTTCGTGATATCAACAGTATCACTCCCCATATCCAAGGTAGCTCCTAAACCCCTTAAGAGTTCCTTGGAAAGAAGCAGTGGAGCTTCAGAGCCACTACCAGGCAGCACAGCTGCCTTTATTGCTAGCTGTCGGCTTCCTAACCGTACTGGAATGATGGCTGCTCTGTCCGTCTGAATCAACCCGGCATTGCCAAACTTGAACTCATGCCTCTCTCTCACGAATAAAACTTGCAGCCCAACCCTTCCCAGTACTTCAGACATGCGCTGTAGAACTGCTTCACCTATGAGTGTTCGTCTACAGGCAGTGTCTGGAACCCCATGAGTAGCAAGATCGGCCATGTATGCCTCGCTGCCCGATGCGTGACCTTGCTTCTGGAAAAACTCAAAAACACTCTGCCCAAGATCCCCTGTCACTTCTTCGCCATCAGCATGCAGGACATCTAAGCCTGCTGGGCCACCCTCCCTCTGGCCGCATTGCTCTGCCAGAAAGGTGTCCAACTTGACGATGTCTTCTGCCTCGAGGAAGTACTCTTGGTTCAGATTGTCCATGGCGCTGCCACCACCACTGTCCATGATCATGGCCTCGCTGGTCTGACTGGTCTTTGCGCTTGCCTGACTCTGCTTTCCACTTGCTTGTTGTGCTCCTCCGGGCTTACGTTTTGGACACTCCCGCTTCCAATGTCCACGTTCCTGGCAGATGTGGCAACGACTCCGCGCCTTGAGCTGCTCAATCTTGCCACGCACTGTCCCCGACAAAGTCCATGTCGATCCTGTGCCTGTTGCCTTGTAGCCGCGGGCCATCTTCTTCTGCTGCATTTTCCGTCGGATGTCCTGGTAGGACTCAAACACCTCGATCGCCTCCTCGTCGTCGTAGGTCTCCTGGGACTGGATCTGGTCGGCGATGACCTGGAACACGTCGTCTCCATCCAGCTCATCTGTCTCCTGGTTCGTCTTTCCAGGTTCCTCGAGGAGCTCAGTCTCAAACACTTCTCGAGATTTGCCCCCACCAGTCTTAGCACATCCTTGTGGAAAGATCGCTTGCGCCGCACTGTTCACGTCTGCGTACTTGAGGGACCCACGAGTATGGGTGAGCACCATGGCCTCTGCCTGTGACTCCAGCTGAAGCTTTCGCAGCAGGAACCAGCCTCTCACTTCATCTGGCAGCTCCACCTTGTGCTCTTGCAGTCTGCGGTATGCTGTCTCCAGGCGAATGGTCATGTTCCTGTAGCTCTCTCCAGCCTTGATGCTTGTCCCATAAAAGTACTCCGTCAAGTGCTTTTGCAAGGCGTCCTTTTGCAAGTCCTTGTAGCGACCATCCAAAGTCTCGAAGATGATTTCGTGGCCACCTTCCTTGATGATCTTCTCGAGCGCAATGCCTTCGCACACTTCTTCTGCTTCGCCCGATAGAAACTCCATCAGCTTGGCACCCCATCGATCCTTCGAGTAGGTGGTCGGTAAGGCCAGCAACATCAACTCCGCCTTTCTTCTCCACTTGCGATACGTTGCTGGCTGCGTCCCGTCAAACCTCTCTAGCTTAGGCCTCTCCTCTTCTTTTCCCTGAACATTCATGATCAGCTCGACTCCAAAGCGAAGACTGTGCGCACCGGGGTGGCCTGGAATCCAAGCCTCCCACCAAGCGCTCCGCTACCACCTGAGATCTCTAGGAACCCAGGTGGCTGCAGCGCACTGGCCTTTCCATCGAGCTTCCTCAAGATATCCTAGGATAGTAAAGGGGACCTTGTGCCGATATTGCCAAGGATTTGAAGACACTATGTTTGAGGCATGGAGACTTTCTGTACAGTCCCCGATAGATGCAATGACTTTCTCACTTTTCTTTTGGTCACTTTATGCACTTTTTGAGGGGGGAGGGGAATTCTCAACGGTTTAGGGTTCAGGGTTTATAGGTTTGGGGTTTATAGGTTTAGGGCTTAGGGTTCGAAATCCTAAACCCGAAACCCTAAACGGTTTGGGTTTAGGGTTTGTAGGTTTTGGGTTTTGGGTCCGAAACCCTAAACCCTACCCTGAACCTCGCAGCTCCATCATGACTTCTTTGTGCACCCTGAACCCAAGTCTCAAAGCAACTGCTACTTTGACCTTAGGTGAGCGGAGTTGCGGGTGAACCCTGGAATTCAAGGGGCGAAGCTACACATTTCGGGTTTAGGGTTTAGGGTTTAGGGTTTAGGGTTTAGGGTTTGGGGCTACAATGAAAAGCCCTACAAGCCGAAAGGCTTTTGCAGCAGCCCGCAGGACCTTCCGTGCCGAAAACCGCATTGAAACCCCACACCCACAACCCAAAACCCTGAAAGTTGAACCCCCACCCCCCCAAAAAAAAAAAAAAAAACCAAAAC